TTCAGAAGCTCATCTATTTGATGTAAGATGAACTCCCTATTGGTGTTGTTCGTCTCGAACTCAGGAAACGTGATGGCTGGGATGTCCGGCAGGATGATGTTCCCTGCTAGTTCCTCGTGGCTCTCGAATGTTGAACCACGGTAAAGGGCGACGTCCGCGACCGCTGCAATCGTAAATTTTGGTAAATGCACTATCCCATTTCGCGGTAGCATGTCTGTTAACCTTGGCTAACAGCGGTTTTCCCTGACTGTCTGTCAGTGAAACCTTAGTGGGCTTTGGAAGACTGAATGCCCAGGAATTACCAGCTCGGTAAGACACGAAGGTGGTGGGGGGATCCTTGATAAAAATCTCATGTAGGGTGGACACAACCTGACCACGTCTTCGGCGTTTGACATGAGTACAGCAAAAGCGCAGGTGTCCCCCGACCGTTGCACCGGGACGCTCGGATTGCATATGGGCGCCTCCGTGGTGTCGTGGCACTCCCGCAGGTCGGCGTCGGTCAGCAGCAGATGATTCATTTGCACCTCGTCCACAGCGATGTATTTGTATGTCAGCTTATAAAACGTGAAAACATCGGTATTATTAAGACGTACTTTTAAAAGGCATTATTTCGTACACCTTGAACTTTCTAGCCGTGAATACTAGAGGTAGATGAATGTGCAATACCAGCGAGCTATTGGTGGTTATCACGGGCGCTACTCTAGCAGACCTGTAGTAGAACTCCATCTCGTTGTTCTTCGGTTCCACCGGCAGCTGTATTCCCAGCGGCAATTTTTTGCTAAGTCTTTGTAGCAAATCCGAGAATGTTACCGAGTCGATGAAAGTGAAAGAAAGCTTTCCTTCCAACTCAGCGAAATAGTACGCAGTTAAAAATGCTCTTGTAGGAGATTTATGGGGCCTTCCAACGGTACTGTGTTTGGCAATTGATAACAAGTCGATTCACAGTGGAATATTCACAGGATTTTATTGTATCACTGGTTACGTTACAAACCAAGATTGCGAACTCCACTGCGAAGTTGGATGAGAGCTTGAGCGTGGACTTGGGCGTGTAGTCCGACTGGAAGCGCAGAGTCCAGGTGAGGTCGGAGGGAAGTCTACGGTGCAATGACTGGCAGAACGATGGACGGCCAGGACGGTGACGGAGAGGTGGTCCGAGGCGAGCGTCCTGGTCGGCTGGTGGCGAGTGAGTCAAGTCGGGGGCGAGTGAGAGGCAAGTGAGAGAGTGAGACGAGCGAGTGTGTCGTCTTATATGTGGGTGCGCGTGTAGGTGTGTGTTGCGTAGGTGTGCGCATGTGTGTGTATGTGTTCACGGGCGCTCTGGTCTGATGTTGTAAACAATTAGTGATGCATCAAGGGCGCGCAGTGTTTTGGCTCGGCCAGGAGGTTAAAGGTCGATCGCTGGCCGAAGTGGCGTGACATTTTAATGTAGTGCATGAGTGAGTCGTATTGGCGTAGTGTGTGATGGAAATGAACTGTGTGTGAGCTCGACTGAGGTCTCCCACAAATCACCATCGTCTTTCTCGTGAAATTCCAGTTCTAACGAGTAAATGAATAGTGGGGTTCTGATCGCAAACAACGACACCATTACGACTTTTGGAAATAACCATCCTGTTCATGAGTTTCCAGAGCATTTCTTCGCCCTGGGGGCTAGTTTTTAAAAGGTTGAATTTGTAAATGATATGTATGTAACCCTGCCTTTCAAATTTTCTATTTTGTCGTCCAAAATCAAAATCCCGAGACTGCACTCAGAAGCCACCAGCAAGCAAACCGTGGCTTTCCAATTACTCAGCGATACCCTGGAAAAGGACTTTCCTGTGATGAGGAACATTTGCCGACAAGTACCCAGCAATCCAATGCGGTATTCCACGCAGCAGTACATCCGTTACCATCGCCACCCACGCCTCTCCACTGATGACTCACTAAAGGTAAGTACTTACGGGGTGTCAGGGCCAAGCCTTGACAGTACACGGAAAAAAAGTATAAGGGGGGGGGGGTTATAATTGGCATTATTGTTAGTATTGAAACACATGTCAGAATATGACAGAATCTTTTCAGACCGCTACCGTAGTTGAAGACTGGTGCATGACAGAAGGAACTCTTGCTCGGGAGTGTAACACTCTCATTCTCTCTCCGCTAACGAGCGTCAGTTGCCGAGTGTCTGAAGGAGCGCGCTCCCCTCGGCGCGTCCCGTCTCGGCAACCCTTTGGCCGCGCCCGGCCTGCACCGAGGGCTCTGCTTGACCTTTCAGGCGAAGGGCAGGCGGCCAGGCCGGAGGCGGCCGGAGGCTCGCGGTCCCACCGCACCGCCGAGGAGTATGAGAATGTTATCACCGGCCGGGCGGCACACAAATGTCAGACCCGAGACGGGAGTCGAGGATATCGGGTTTGGGGAACGACCAGAGAGCACGTCTGTTTTCCTCATATTCATTCGATAAATTCCCGCGAAATCAGGGCCTTTTGAGGTCGATCGCCGAGGTCGCTCATGTGACCCAGGTGGCCTGACTAGGCTGCGGCAGGTTAGAGGAGGTGAAAGAGCTCCTCTGGCCCTTCTCCTCTCCTCACCCCTCACCCTGCCGCTCCCTGATCAGGCCTCCCGGGTCACGTGAGCGGCCTCAGCGATCGGCCCCACCCAGAAAGCACATTTTTCACCCTGTCGTCGGGAGCTCGACGCCTGCGGGACTCAGGGTAGGCCACCCTGCAACACACGCAAGCACTGCAGGCGAGATGTTGCCTACCTATCAGGCACTATGAGAGCTTCATGGACCGAGTGTCTGGCCGAGCGGTTCGACTTCGTCGACTGCTAACTCTGCCTGAGGCGAGTGTCGGTCCGAGAAGTTCGGCTAATCTGCCGAAGTGTCTGAACACCGAATCCCATAATATTTGGTGATGAAGTGACCAATCTTGAGGAGGTGCAGTGGTGCAGCGTTGACCGGCAGGTGTCGCTTACACATGCCTGCCGGGTAAGAGAGGCGTGTTACGA